GGTCCATTCCATATGCTGATGACGGGCATTTGATTTCGACTATACCGTGTTCACACTTTCCATCAGGACTTGCACCGAGAAAAGAAATTTCTTTATCAATCGACAACCCACATTGCAAAATGTTCGTTTGTAACACTTGTTCAAGTTCGCGTAGTGCGGTGTACTCATTGTCTTTACCATGTTTGATGGATGGTACATTACCCAAATCTTTTCCATATAAAATTTGTTTCACTAATGGTGCACAATTGGAGCTTGGGCGCCGTTTACATACTGTAGAAAACCATGAAGCTGTGAGTAATTTCCTTCTGGTTTCCAACCATAAAGGACTAGCACTTTGTAAAATTGTGTCTTGTTCGATCTTGTCTTTTTCTTCAGGAGTTATTTCTAATCTTAACAAAAATTCTCTTTTAGCTGTTGCATATTGTTTATCATCCATGTCAACTTTTTGGCACTCTTCGCCATAATGAACGTCCTTGTTAGTCGTATGCTTGATAACCTTTCGCTTTTTGATCCTTTTTTCCATTATTTTCACGTTTAATTTTTGACGAATGGTTTCTAATCGGACTATCTCATGGTTTGCTTCAGTGCCAAAAATATATTTATGAACAGTTGACTGTAAGGCCCCCGAATTATATGATATAACAGCGGCGGCACAGCGGCCAGCATATGATCGCCGTTGCGAAAAATTTACCCTTTTTCCGCCAACAAATTTCGCTACTCTGGCATTAAAGCTCTCCACCAAATTGTTCGTTTCGTTGTGTACGAAGCTATAAGCATGGAACGACAAACGATGAGCCAAATCTTCAATTTTTTGGAACACTCCATTTGCTTTCAGTTCTGGCACCATATTTTCGGTACGTTTTTTTATTTCATCGTTACAGAAATATGATGCACATTTTGAATGGTCTCCAAAAATGTGATAAGGACCATTATTTATGTCATCTTTTATATTTTTCATTTTTTCGGAAAACGGAATACTTTGCTTGACCCAATATTTGACGCTACTATCTACTCCCCATCGTATCCGCAAATAATTGTCTTTTAATATCTTTCGGGCTCGTATGGGATAAGTAGTGTTGCTCGCTATTGATAAAAGCCCTTTGCAATAGTTTCTGAGTAAATGATTTTTGCACTCAACTTTACCCACAGTGACACTTTCATATGGCCTAGAATTTCGGATACTAGCATATGTGCTTGAATCACCATCTGCTACATACTGATTATAAATGAGTCCATGTCTTTCTATAGATTCTTTGAAACCCTCTGTTATGATTAATGCTTCCATTGCAGTAGAAGGCCCTTGAAAATTTTTAAAACACCTATGTTTCGGTGGTTGTACTCCTTTTAAATGTGCTCGGGAACAGATGATACACGTCTTGTTTTTTACTCCATAGTAAAGAACTTTCTTAGAAAATAATCCTACAATAGCACCAACTCCAGAAGTCGCACTGTAATTCGTTCCATACGAACGTTTGGACCAACATGCATCACCCGATACAGGTATCATTGGTATTCCACTTTCATTTACGCTTCCGATAGATAGAGCATGATTCTTCTCTTCCTTACCAGCTTCTGCCATACAGTGCTGTGCAGTTTTGTGCCACCATCCACAAATTATATCATGTTTGCCTTGATACAATCGTACTGACATAGGTGGTATATTTATATGACAAAGAACCGTATTTAGCTGTGTAACTCCGGCACCAATACTCATAATACCGGCCACAATTTCCTCATTCACATCCATTTTATTTGCCGAATACTCGGAAGATTTTAATACAAACTCTTTGCTGCACATTCGGCATTTCATATGAAAAGTTGAG